TGATGTGATTGATGATATTATTGATGATGTGATATGATGTGATTGATGATGTGATTGATGATGTGATTGATGATGTGATATGATGTGATATGATTGATGATATGATTGATGATGTGATTGATGATGTGATATGATTGATGATGTGATTGATGATATTATTGATGATGTGATATGATGTGATTGATGATGTGATTGATGATGAGATATGATTGATGATGTAATATGATATGATTGATGATGTGATGTGATTGATGATGTGATATGATTGATGATGTGATATGATGTGATTGATGATGTGATTGATGATGTGATATGATGTGATATGATGTGATATGATGTGATTGATGATGTGATGAATGATAAGTGTGACACGTCAGCATCTGCACTCACAGTCTCGTGGACCGAACGAGTTAATTTGCTGCAGTTACTTATGTTTTCGCAGATATTTAAGTAAGTTTCGCAAATGTAATAATAGTGAGGTTGCTCTGAAGATGGGAGGTGATATTCTATTAATGTTCACACAGTCGTGATTGTTGGACCTCTTCTCTGCATACAGCAGTTATAACTGTATTTCCTTTATCCTATAATATGACCTTTAAACTTTATATATATTTTTGCCAGCTTTTCTACATGCAATTTACAGCTGCAACAGTGTTGCTTTTATCCTGCATTATGTGTTAACTTCTTAATATTTGTCTGATTATAGTTCACTCTTTATTTGTGAAATATGACATTCCACATGTTTTTTTATTGGTGGCATACTGTTAACTACGCCCCCTTCATATGAGCTTATTTACCTATATATTGGGTTTGTTATTCTGTTTGGCATGTCCTTAGTTTACCTATCCCTGCATTTTACCTTCACTATTGTGCCACTTGCACTATTTTGAGTTTTATTGTTCTATATTAAGTATGTGTTGTGCTTTTGAAGGAATTTGGGGATTCAGACTTGTATTGCCACCACAACGCTGTAGCTGTTGTGCATGTGAGAACAAAGCCTGGACTCCTCCTTAAGGTTCTGCTCTGTCGTACTGCAGGAGATTCATCTCACTCCCCTCTCTCTGATCTGTGTACATACTCGTTATAATACAGAGGGGGAGAGTCATTATTTCAGAAGCTCACATACTAGAGTACAGGTAGTAGACTCAGCCCACCTGTGGTTACTGAGACTAGCCATGTCCCGGACCGTCTGAGCCGTCTCTGAGGCAAAGTCCAGAGCCCCAGCCACCGGTTTGGTCACCGTGCCAACTAGACCTTTGCCCAGGCCAGAGAAGAAGCCGCTGACTCCGCCCTCCGTCTTCACGCCCTCCACTGTGGAGGTGATGATGCTCGTCATGCCTCCAATGATACCTGGGGAGGGAGATATGTCAAAGAAGGGTCACTTCACAGATTAGAGAGACTGAGAGCCAGCTCCACCATACCATCCCTGGTGCTGAGAGGAAGCAGCGCTCATATAAACTGCCATGTACTGTCTACTGCTCTATCAGTAGACCCCCTTGAAAACGAGATGGTGCATCTCAAGGGGTTTATCCCAATAAATAAAATGTCTATATATATAATGTCCATTTCTTCTCTAGGCTAAGGAGCAATAACAGAAAAACATTATACAAGGATTGAATTCACTTCCCATGATTCATTGGGTCAGTCAGGGATGCAAACAGGGAGCAGCAGGAGGGAATAACTCAGAGCCATCACGGCTTCTGTGTCTGTATTCTTTTTCTGTAGCTTAGTGAGATTGTATATTTTAGAGTACTCAATTTATTCAATATTTTTGTTTTATTGTGTATCATTCAGATACTCTAGTGATATATGTCCTTTCTGTTGTGTATTTGTATATATTTGCTGATAATGTTAATGTTTATTCGTACTATATTGTATCTTATAAATATTTGTAACTTGTGTAATGCTTGACAACACTGCTGCTGTGACAATGTCATTTCCCAATCTGGGATGAATAAAGTATCCATTTATCTATCTATCTATCTATCTATATTACATGTCGCCTGTTAGACGCTTTTATCCAAAGCGACCTGCACACATTCGATACTGTGGGCAACCCCCACAGGAGCCAGTTGGGGTGTCATGCCAAGGGACAAAACGACATTCTGAGTGCAGTGGGACGCGACCTTGATCTCCCCTGAGCCGAAGATCAGTTCACTACCCCACTGAGCCACAGCCTCCCTTCTGCTGCTGGGTACTGATAGAGGATCTGTACACCTGACGGGTGAAGTCTCTCTATTACAGGAATAACAATGTTATACATTCTTTTTACTGCCTCCTATCACAGCCTTTAGAGTTTCAGTGTGCTCATTGGCTTGTGAAGACATACACACGGACCTTCCTAACAACAGACCTTTAAAGTGTAAAATGCACAGCCTTGTTCAAATCCACACTCATAGACAGCTCTGCGTTCCTTCTTATGGTACGTCCACACGGCAGCGTGCACTGCAGTGCTTCAACAGAGACGCTTCCCATTCACTTTGAATGTGGTTCCGTCGCGTCGATTTGCCTCTGTTGCTCGCTTCGAAAGTTGAGTAAAGTTCAACTTTTCAAGCGTCGACGGAAGCGCCAGCCAATCAAATCATATGCCGACGCTGCCGTGTGGACGTACCGTTAAGAGTACTGAATATTTTCCAAACGTTACATGTAAATTGAACAGTTTTTGACAACAAAACACAGTTTTTCACCCTGCCAAGTGCACATGCATCTATTATTTCATTGGTCAAAGATTTTCTTTGTCTCTCCCAGCCAGCAGCTTCAACATGAGAAGCATCAGCTGTCAGTCACATCATTTGTGCTGCTCTCCACCTTTCAACATGAAATACACTGACAGTATCTGTGTGGAAAAAACAATAGGGCCTGATTATTTTTAGCTTTTTTGTGTTCAGGGGGCCCACGGAAAATAATTCTAAATCCTACGAGTTGTGCGCAGACACAGAGTGGACACAGAGTGGGGGTGTACCGTGAGCCAGACCGTGGATCCCTGCCACCAGGTGCTCCCCGCTGGTGGCCCCGTGGTACCGGATGTACTCTCGCTCGCTCTGGTGCCGGTTGTCCATGGTCTTTCCCAGCCCGTCTGATAACGTCCCTGCAAACTGACACACAGGGAACAGGAACATGCTCACTATGCATAATAATAATACATTTACTCAAGAGGCGCCTTTCAAAGCACCCAAGTGAACCACAGCTGAGCAGGTTACCTTGGCAGCAGAGTTGGACACTCCGTGGGTCACATTGCGGATGAGCCCCCCCACGTTGCCGTACTTGATCAGCTCAGACATGCCCTCCGTCACGTCGTTCAAGAGCCCCATGGGGTTTCCCAGGAAGTCCACGGAGCCCAGGATCTGAGCCGCCTGGCTCATCAACTCCTGCACAGGAAGCAGTGATACAAAGATGCAAAGGCTTGTCACATGCACGGTAACTACAGTGTAGATATTGCAAAGAGAATCTTAAGCATCCCAGGCTACTTCAACAATGCAACATAGAAATATATAACACATAAAATAAATTATAAAACAAGAAAATTTGTGCAAGAAGAAACAGAATAGAAATAAAATAGTGCAAGATTATGTAACAAGACCAGTGTGTATACATATATATAGTATATACATGTAAACAATATATATATATACACAGTACCAGTCAAAAGTTTGGAGACACCTTCTCATTCAAAGGTTTTTATTTATTTTAATTATTAGTTTATCAGTATAATTATAAGTAATTAAACAATCCAGAATATAATTTATATTTTTAGATTCTTCAAAGCAGCCCTCTATTGCCTTGATGACAGCTTTGCACATTCTTGGCTTCTCTCAGTCAGCTTCATGAGGTCGTCACCTGGAATTGTTTTCCAACAGTCTTGAAGGACTTCCCAGATGTGCTGAGCCCTTAATCGTCCCACAGAGGGGACATGTCCATTCTGCATTTGACCCATCCTAGTGTTAGGAGCAGTGGGCTGCCATTATGTACGGCGCCCGGGGAGCAGTGTAGGGAACGGTGCCTTGCTCAAGGACACCTCGGTAGCACGTTGTCTTTCTGGGACTTGAACCGGTGACCTTCCGGTTCCCAAGCCAAGCCCCCCTATGGAGGCAAGGTCATCTGACGCAGCTCTCCATCAGATGGGGATGGCATGGAGCTGCAGAATGCTGTGGTAGCCATGTTGGTTAAGTGCGCCTTGAATTTTGATTACATTTCTAACAGTGTCATGAGGTCGTTCCAGGTGACGACCTCATGAAGCTGACTGAGAGAAGCCAAGAGTGAGCAAAGCTGTCATCAAGGCAAAAGGGGCTACTCTGAAGAACCTAAAATCAAAATATTATTCTGGATTTTTTAACACTGTTTTGTTCACTACATAGTTCCATATTGGTTCTTTCATAGTTTTGATGTCTTCAGTATTAATCAACAAAGTAGAACACAATTTAAATAAACAAAAGCCATTGAATGAGAAGGTGTGTCCAAACTTGTGACTTTTCAGCATACCATAATAACCTAGTCATCTCTGACTCAAACCACCATTTCTATCAGCTGCTGTTCATGTAGCAGCTGATAGAAATGATCTTCACTTTATTTATCAAACATGGAGAATGGCTGGCCAACAAAGTCTCACAATGGATTGGATTGAGTTCTGCAGGAGGGGGGATCCCAGCAGTGTCACAGCTGCTGTGGTGCAATTGGGTTGTGAGACTCCCTGATAATGTCTAATGGCTAATCATTTGAAATCAGCGTACCTCTCTGAAGTGCTTGAGGATGTCGTTAATGAGGATCTCCTGGGTTTCATAGGGGTGCACTCTGGTGAAGGGGTACATGTTGATGACAGCGTCTTCAAAGCGGACCAGAGGAAAGCCCAGGGTGCCTTTCAGAGCCTACAGAGAACACACACAGCCTTATTCAAAACATGTGAGGAGAAGTGAAGTACAGTTACAGAGGGACATCAATCTGTTGAACCTAATATAGCAGTTTTAAAATAATAAGTCTACTGCTGTTTAATCCCTAGAGATGTGTCAGGACAATCGGCCCCTCTATCTGCAGGCAGGCAGTGCCCGACATGAAAACTAGAACAATCAGTTAATGTAACACTGAGGGCCCCTGCTGCTGACTGCTCTGCCTGTCAGACACAGGAGGCAGTTTGGGCTCATGTGTGTGTTTAGAATCGTAATGTTGTGTAAAGGTGAAGCTTGCTGCTGATTCTCATGTTCAGAGAGTTTATTACCTGTCCTGTCTTAGTGCAGCTGGACCCTTTAGTCATCCTGCATAATGTTGCAAGTCCTCCTACATTAATGTTCTACTATTTTCACAATCATGACATATTTGTGTATATAATGTGCCTTTTAAGGTCAGTAGATATTTGGACATTCCAGACTGATGGGGAATAACATCAGAATGATGGCTTTTAACTAGGGCCGGGACTTTAACGCGTTAATTAAGATTAATTAATTAAACAAAAATTAACGCATTTTAATCGCACTTATTTTTGCACCGCGGAACGTTTCTCACTGGATGAGTTTCAGGGGTACCGATTATACTGGAGCACCAACTAACGTTCATGACTTCAGACAACAACAAACCACAGTGAACAATAGTCAAACATGAACGAAGAAGCTGATGAGACCGCTTTGGTTGGCCCCGTGAATGGGACATTTTGTTTTAAAAAACGGACGGATGGAAGCGTAGATAAGAGCACGGTTGTTTGCAAATTATGCAAAAAGGAATTCGCATATCCCCGCAGCACATCAAGCCTCAAGTATCACCTCAATGCAAAACATATAGCATCTAGCGTGGAAGCTAGCGTGGAAGCTAGCATGGACGTTAGCCCGACTCGGAGTACAAGGACCCACACCCAATTCGCGTTGATCAAACAGTGGCCTATGCAACAGTGAGATTTTATTTTTCATCAGGATATTGGAAGAATACTGGCACTTTTTTATTTTATTTTAAATGGTACACTTTATGTTGAACTATTTATTACGTTGTTGGTGCAACTGGCACTTTATGTTGAACGGTTTATTGTTTTGGCCAAGGTTATTGAGAGAGTTGGACTGAAATTGATTAGATTTTTTAAATCAACTGTTGGTAAATCAACA